ATCACAACAATTGGCCAGTTTGTGTGATTTTGTAACTTGCAATTGTCTTCAATGTATTGGACATCGCACGCTTCAACAACACTGGCTGCATAGAAGAATAATTTAGTTGAAGGAGTTTTTGCCGTTTTGAAGTTTGGATCACCGCGTATCGGAGGGAAGAAAACAACCTTTCGCGGCCAGACTCCCCAGGCCAATTCTCCTCTTCTTTTTGCCGAATTCTACGATCCGTATTTCCGTAGAAAGACATGGTACAGGCTTGGTGAATAGTCTGTTGCTTCGTTCACTACGATAATCATCTTCACAAAAAACCTACACTATACACACACACAACACCCACCAAAACAATATCACACTGTCGAAGGCATGAGACCTCCGAACTCTAGTTTTGGTCCATATTATTACAACTCTCTATTTAAGGCAATGTTGTTTACGTTCTACCACTGCCTGTAGTGTTTGTGTACCATGTTTTGCCTTTAGCGAAGAGGCAAGGCAGACAAAGATTGGCAAAGTTTGGCAGGGCGTCACCATGAGACAGTCATCAACACGGTGTTTGTTACAGCCCGCGGTTTTGTCCGTTTTGTGGCGCTCCGATTCAGACGACTGTTTACATATTTAGTCAAAGGTAAGTGAGTCTTTAGATCTCCGTATCGGATAGTGCCGGCAGCGGTGGGGTCGCCTTTCCATGGCAGGGCCGGGGTCTGGATAAGGTTGCTATGTAAACTATTCAAGACAAAAGGGCAGCAGAATTGTGCCCAGTGCACATATACCTGTGACCCAGTACGGCCCTACAGGTGGGGCGGTTTAAATTTGCCACATGACAAACGTTATGGAATATGTTTGGACCAAAATGACACCCAAAAGTTGCATGTAAACATCGTGTAGGACTGTTAGGAATCGTGGTTGCTGGGTCATAACGTGTTTTATTTCATTCTTTAGCTTACCCAAAACATTCCCTACACAAACCTGTGCAATCAACCCCTAGGAGCAATTTATAGAAATATCTGCTTTGATCATTTGGCCTAGTTATACAGCATTTAGGCTTTTTAGTTGGCAAAGTACTACCGCTTGTGTTGTGTGAGACTTTGTCATAATCATATCAAGTAAAAAACGATTGGAACACCTGGTGTGGCTACTACACAACGTCATTTCCTCCAGAAATGTAATATTATATGTTTATAAATCAAACATTCAAAATTCCACGCCCAGTAACAAACATGCACAGTCTTTGATAGGGGAGAGAAAATGACGAAAACACACACTGTATTCTATTCAGTTTGCGAACATACTTGAATATTAGGTAGATATCTATATAATGTTTATCCATCGCTATACCATATAGTATGTAGATAAACAACTTACCATCGCCAGCTCCCCTGTGGTGAACGTTTAGCAGGACAGGTTCGCCGTTAGGAACCGGCCGTGGTTCCGTGGCCAAGGGCTGGTTAGAGCTCGAGCCACAACCCATGGTGGCGACTGTCACCAGTTCAAGTACGTAGAATATTCTACGGTCTTCTCTTATAAGAGTTTCCTATTGAGGTATGCCGTGTATACCGTATAGTGGTATACCCGCAGCGGAGGAATAAACTGTTCGTTGTCGTTCAAGTACGTACTCCAGAAACTCCCACGTCAGGTCTTTAGAGATGTTTGAGGGAGTCTTCCCATCAACTGTCAGGCGAAGATTCCCTCCTTAAACCCCTCTGATCTCCATAGACACCAGGAACACCTCCTTTATGCCATCATCAGCGCTTGTTCTAGTTACCAACAGCGTTCTAGAACGCAGCTCGGATATTTATCTTCAAACACACGATCCAGGGCAACTTGAAGATGACCGTCACAGTGGCAACGCCACACACAAAACATTCACCACTCTTTGAGTACACCCCCACCAGTAGTCCTAGCTGCCGGTATCTCCGCTGGCAAGACCGCAGCAGTACCGCCCTCTTACACAACGTCAGGTGTGTGCGTGGGACGACGTCGTCAGCGACGTAATCGTAGCTAGCAACGTCCAAGTCGGGAAACCCTGGCGCTCATTCTGATAAAACACCGACTGATGAATTCAGATGACGATTTGTTGAAGTTTACAAAGTCCGACTCCCAGTTGACAGATGTTTGTAGGTTTTAACGCCCTACAGGATAAACTCACGTGTGTAGATCCTTCACCTGTCGGCGCCAGGGTCAGGAACAGCGTTGCTAAGGTGAGGACGTATCCATTGGGTAACGGGAGACGCACGGGGTGAGGGTATTATTGTTGACATGCGTTGCGTCACCGTCTTTAGCGCACACTGTAACCCAATGGCCACGGGTGAAAAACACTGAAGACTGGATGCAAATCCTTTTATATTTGCCAGATAAACCACCAGTTTGTCATGTTCAAATTCCCGTCCGTTTTAAGGACCCACAGCACGAAAACAGACATTTAAGCAAACGTTCCGCAATATGTAAAGAAGTAGCAAAGGTGGGAAAATATTTCGGTAGACTTCACGACTTCGTAAAGGCCGCTAAAAGGCAAAGTCGGCATTTCCGTCACCTTTCAGTGCGCTTAAATACGCCGTAAATATATTTCGTATCTTAACTCTTCCTTTACATATCCGTAAATAAACTGTACAAGCGTTACTGTAACGTCTCAGCACACAAATGGTGAATGTCACTCACTGAAAGAAGCTCACCAGGGTATGGCTGTAAGCCGCAAATCAAAGGTTTTGCGCTCCAGAGAATAATAACACTACAGCCTTACTGGTTTTACGTCCTCTACAGGGAAGCCACCCACTGAAAAAAAGCTTAGCGGGACTGTAAGTTTTCTTCAGTTCAAATTTAACCCTTCTATTTATTACTCTACGCTTGTGACTACACTTACTAACGTGTCTGAATCAGGTATCACTGCTTATTACGAATTTCATTATCGCTACCATTACAACAACACAGTCTCCCAAGCAAAGCGTCTTTTTTATTGTCTGTGAAAATCCACGTGATGGAATACAGTGATGGCGAGTTTACTATCTTCTTCAATGTACAGCCAATAGTAGCTTTAAGGGTTATCGTCACAAGTCATGACGGAAGCCATTTTATACATGAGAGAGTGATAGAGAGATGGAGAGAGAGAGGAAGAGAGAGAGAGAGACGGGTGCTTTAACTGTGGCAAGCTGGGTAAAGCTGGAAAGGAACAGTCACAATAAAGTTGGCCCTAATTACCTGCTATCAATGAGAACACGTGAGTAGCTAGTAGTAGCAGTAGCTACTTTACACAATCCAAGATGCTATGTCGAAAACAGAAAACACCTTACGTTGATCAATACTTTAGGAGGTATATTGAATGTAAGCATTATTGCAATGACTGGACACATCAAGAGGATCCTAGCATCACCTCAGTTTTCAGTAGTAAAAGGTAGCACACTGATCAGCCACATTAGTGTCTTTACTTGTATTTTGTCTCCAGAACACATTAAATGTAACACAATGTCATCGGTATCCATAACGTTTCACTAACACTAAAGGATCATGATTTTATTTAATTTTTTTGAAACGTACAACTTCACTTGAAGAATAGCCTACTATGATCAATTGGTAATGGCAGCTCTTGATTGAGATATTGTTCTGCGATGTTACAGCAGTTTCACAGGATGGCCATTAGTTGTATATGTAAGCCAGTTAACATAAATCATTTATACATACAATGCTCTCTTATAGCAATATAGCCACTATAATTTTATTTGGTCAGAGCTAGTTGGTACACGTATATATGTTACGGTACAACTCAACTACAACTACGTCATCTATAGAAAGGGTTTTGTACAGAAAAGGTTATACCTCCACCTACCAAACATTTTGTCAAATTCAGGCTCTTTTGCTTTCAAGTTTTCACAATTATGCTTCTGTCCAGATTTGTCAAAAACAGCCTATTTTTTTTTACTTACACATTATCTTACAGTTTGAGCAAAACCCATAAGAAACTTGCATTTAGCCTTATGGATACGGGGAATTCAACATCTTATCACGGTTTGGACATGGGGAGATGCCAACTGTCTAACTTAATAGCCAAGAGTTCTTACCTCATAGTAACTTGTATCCTGTCTGTGAGATAAAATGTTTCAGCACAAAATGTAATGCATGGTTGACTATGTGTTTACATACACATGTGGTCCACAGAATCATCGCACAGACAACACACAAGCACCAATTGGGACCAAGCAGTTTCGAGTGCCTGCCAGTCAGTCTACACACACCCTTTGTAGTGTCTACCTAAGATGCAGCTGCAGTGTAGCAGCAGAGTGTCTGATCCCCATACAACAGTGTTTCCATTTCCTACATTTTTGCAGACTAGGCCCAATTTATACAAACCCATAATGGCACTTTCTTATTGCCTGCTTTAGCTGTGCCGCACACTGCAATGCAAACGGTTGGTGTTAATGTTATGAGACGGGGGCAAAAAGGGGTACAATTTCTGTGACCTATGCACTTAACTTCTCCTAACAACAAGGAGAAACACAAGAGGGAATGAACTATCTTTCAGATGCATCTCTTCCAGAAAATACATTGAAGTTTTTATGTCATAACAACGTACAACAATTCTTGATAGAATCAATTCTGCTAATACTGTATCATAGGTGACTTTCAGTGTTCCTTATTTCATTCCTGACAAAAAAGTTTTCATTTACGAATTGTTGAAAAAAAAGAGACACATTGCACAATCACTGGATGCTAATTCGTAAACTTTTTTGTGTGATTATGCATTCTTTATCTATAGCTGAATTTTAGCATGACCAATAAAATAACTTTAAAAGGATCAATGCCTGACATTCGAGAAGTGTTATAATTATAGTTTGGTTGGTCACTCAGGTTATGCTGAAGAAACAATCAAGAAGTGGTATTGTATTGGCTTATAGTAATAGAAGCAGCTCTGTGTCAGAGCTGGAATGACACTGGCTAGGTACATGTACCAGGATGTGATCATCCAACAACTCAGTAACTACAATTTTCACTTGTTTCCCCCACCCTGCCTAAATCTCCAGCCCTTGGTAGGACGGACCCTCCGACTCTGGTGAGGTTTGCCGCAGTCGCAAGTGCTCTATCGTGTTCTGAAAATGCTTGTTGATCTGATCCATCTCTTCACTGGAGTCCAACTCGGGCAGGTCTTCTCTTATTTTCTCTATCAACTGGTTCAGGACTTGGACATTAACCTGTGAAGAGGAGCACAGGAGTTAGAGTTTGCTTCACTGGGTGTCTGAAATATTCCTTGAGCAAAGATACTTAAGGCCACAGCAAGTAAATTTTATGGATGACATGCTCCCCAAATCCAATGCAATAGGGTAAAAAAATCAAGGCGGGCCCAAAAAAAACAAGATTCTTACATTTTTAAATTCTTAATCATAAACCAAACAAGAAATTGGCACAAAGCATGATATCAGAACACGTCTACTACATGACAAGGATAGAATCTGTCCTAAAACTCACTGCCTCATTGCCCTTCTCGTAGAAGAAGATGTATCTGTTGAGGATCTCGATGAAGAGCTGGACCTGTACAGACTTGTCCATACACTGGTTGGCAATACGCAGGCCCTTCTTCAGACACTCCATTACACGCTTACCATCCTGGAGCTGGGGGAGACATTCCATTATCAAACTTAACAACTTCTGACACTGATCTCTCTCTATGGTTTAACTAATGATGCATTTAATGCAGAGTCTCTTCTGTGTGTAGCAACATGATTAATTAGTCAACATGATTAACTAGTCAATCAATCATAAACATTAGCTCTGGGAAAAATGCAGGGTTAACTAGTAAGGTAACATTTGCAAAGCAAAATGCATAATGTTTACCTTCGCATATGGTCTGCTCTGTTAATTCTTACTCAAATACATTTATATACATGTATATGGTCAGACAGGAGTAAAAATCCCTCCTATTATGAAATTGCAACATGATGTAACCCAACACCAGCTACCATGGTGAGACAAATCAGGCCACTGGCCAGGTCAGAGGTCAGTGTTTGGAATGGAAGAAGAAGAGGAAACACACTAGCAAAAACAATATATTTTCCTTTGGTCATTAGTCATACTAGGAAATATCATTAAGTAAACAATCATTATCTTAATAATCATGCAGACATCTTAACAATCATGCAAACGACAGATGTCAATCACAGTGATGACACAGTTGACTTCCATGATCTCCACTCTGATTGGTGCATAAAGCAATGTGTGATCTATCTGATGTTCAGCATTAGTGATCCTGCAATCATCTCGGCATTAACATGAGTTAATTGATGGTGCTGTGGTTGAAGAGTTAGAATTACTGATTAGCATGGAACAATCAGGTGAGTTAGACTATTCCTGCCGACACTCTGCTCCTGTATTCACCTCTTTTGGTTCTCCCCTCTCAGGACTGGCCTCTCCGTTCATCTATAAGGACATGGGAAGAAAACTTACATCTGTTATGCTGAAAACCTGTTCCTTGATGGACATGTACTGACAACATTCATTAGAAGGAATGACTACATTTTTGTCACCAATTGTAAGCAGCTTGTGATGAATTTAACTGTGCAGATGAACAAAATCAGGCATACGCATACACAGGATTTAATATAATTCTGTACCTACAGTATATCCTTGATGTTGTTATGGTAGGGACAAAAGGCATTTTATCAAATAATCTGCATTGACTTCTGTTCTCTAACCACCAACAGAGCAGCAGCTATGTACACACCTCTGTCCCTTCCCCTTCTCTTGTCTTCCCTGACCAGAAGAGATGAGAACAGATGCTGACTCCCCTGCACTGGTCAGGCTTCTTCAGGAGTTTGGACGCTGCCAGCGCACACTGCGTCCTCAAGGGCTCATGGTTCTCCTCACCGAAACACGACATCCTCTCAAACGTGGCGATAATGAGCGTGATAGCTGCCAGCTGGGCTTTTGAATCACTGATCTCATCTTCATATAATGAAAAGGCCTGTTGGGATGAAATATGATCTTGATAAATTTTGAGCCTACTTCCTACAAAGTCATATCTAAGGTTGTACAAACTCACCACCTAATGGTACATCACCTAATTAGTTTTATCCTATAGTACTTTTTTGCACAAGTTTTAACATCGTTTAAAAGGACCACTTCCTGTTGCTGTTGTGGGAAATCATGACCCTAAAATCATGGCCATTATCCAGGACTATTACTTCTATTCATCCAAATGTGATGCCAGGTTGGTTTCCTTCTGATGATCAGTAGTTACTAGTTACAATGAATGTCTTTACAAAGTACCGGTGAACACAATGTACACACCTTTCAAACATTTCTGGCACTTAAATGTTGTACCTACATGTAGGAGGAAGCTGACAGTACCGTACCTGGGACATGAATTCATATGCAACAGTTTCGTAGTTCTCGAAGCCGACCTCGCCGCAGGCCAGCGCGCCCTGCAGGAAGAGTCGCAGCGGCAGCTCCGAGTACTCTGCCTTGATGAGCGCACTGATGGTCTGGTGGCAGAACTGGAAAATCTTCTGGCACTTCTTCTCCCACTTGTCATCCTGCAGAGAGAGAGGAAACTTGTAGTTAAAACTAGAAAGGTAACATTTGCAAAGCAAATGCATAATGTTTACCTCAAAGTTCGCATATGGTCTGCTCTGGTAATTTTTACTCAAGCAAATTCATATATATGGTGACAGGAGTCTAAATCCCTCCTGCTATAAAATTGCAAAATGATGTAACTCAACACCAGTTACCATGGTGACAGACGTCTGGTTCAGGTCAAGGGGTACTGTTCACTTACCTCCTCAGACATCTCCTTGTATCTGAAGGCCAGTCTAAAGGCAGAGAACACCAGGGGAGGCAGGGTGAACTTTATCCTCTTGTTGCCACCATTACCAAAGTGTTTTCTGGCTGAGTTCAGAATCTGTAGAAAGAAGAGAGTCACACATTCACACAGAGAAGGTTGTTGCTCTACTAAGGATGGGACTTAAACAGGAAACACACACTCATTTGATACAACATGATCTCTGTTCCTCAAAGGCTAGCTATCTACTGTGTTGTGAAGGAGTCTGACCATGTACTGCTGGTCGGGGTTGTCTGAGTTGAGGAGAGACATGAAGCGTCCCATCAGGTTCTGTTCCTCAGAGAAGTCCTCAGGATCAGGCTCCTCCTGGGGCTGGTCGGCCTGGTCCTGAACCAGCGACGACACCAGCTGCAGGATCTGGTCCGTCTGGGACAGGAGACAGGTACATTGTCAAGGTTAGTATAATAGCATGAAAGTTCATCTGTGGTGGTACAAGTCATTATGAAATAAAGACTAAACATAGACGGGGGGCGACACAAGTTATCTGGAATGAATGACCCGCTACTACGGTCACGTGTCTCTGACGTCACATTCCAAGAGTCCATTCCGTGAACAAGGTTGAAGGAGTCAGCTGAAAATTTGGGATAAGTCCCAATTCATTCCAATGTTGGCAATCTTTACAATGTATTTCATAAGGTTTACACGGTATCCAACCCTATCCAGTCAACCTATTGTAGTCCTACTCCTAGTGTTTAGTCTACTGTTCTCATGCCTTCGGTCAGTGCATTTCTCAATCTTAGCCTTACAGAGCATGCTGCACTTTCAGTTAAGAAGGTACAGTATGTAGCAATGATCAGGAGATATTGTCAGAATACTAGCAGGCTGTTTTCTGCCTGAACATCCAACTCAGTCGAGAAACTTTACAGGCAGCACAGTCAAATTCCAATGACTTACCTGCTCAGCCATGGGGATCTCTGTGCCGTGCTCCAGACAGTTGTTGACCACGTAGATGCTCATGTTCTTCCTGGAGTCATAGTCGAAGTATTCGAAGAGCGGGGCAAAGTGCTTGAGCTCCAGCACGGTCAGCACGTTGTTGTATGAGTCGATCGGAATCTTCAGCAGGCGCGACAGTTCTTTGGATACGGCACTGCTGTTCTCTAGGCTATAGATAATACAGTGGGACACTTTTATATGTGCACTGTTGAACTAGGTACCATGGTAATACCTTCTCTTGGAATAGAACAGAACAGATGCAAAGAGTGGTAGAAAGTTGCAGCAACATGAAGGTAGGACAACATAACATAAACATGGGAAAAGTGTTAGCTTTTGGTAATTAGATGGATGACATGCATGCACATGTAGGGACATGTCAAGACAGTAACTTGCAATGGAAGGTCTTAATCACTGTAAGTATCAACTGAAGAAATGGAGAGCATTTTGTTAAAATTGTTAGCATTAAAGAAATGTGCATGGATGATGATACTTTAGTACAGAGGTAAATTACTAACTTCTCTTTTTCTTCATAACAACTAACCAAATGACTATGACTTTTTTCAATCTATTTCTTTATCCAAGAATTAAAAAATCAAAGGGCATTTTGAAAGAAGTGCCTCAAAGTGTGGAAAGGCATGTTGCATGGTAGATGTATGAACAACAGTATCAGTAGAAGAGGTGCCCAAAGCAAGCAGAGAAGTTTTGAGAGGAAGGAAAAAGTCCAACTTACAATCTTGACAGGAGGGTGAGAGGTCGCGAAGAGCAAGAAGAGACGGCAGGGAGGGAAGCAGAAACAACACAAGTGATTCACACTGACGGCAACAAACACTTCTCCAGTACAGGAGGAAACAAGTGGCAACAATAACCAAACTTACAGTAGCAGTTCTACATGTACTTAAGCTGCACACTGAAGCACAATAACAGCCACAACATGACATCTATTAAAACTGTGACAAATTTCTTGATATCCATATGATCAAATAGTGGCATCAGAAAATTATCATACTAGGACTTTTCTTCCTCTATAACTTGTTTCCAGCTGAATTTTATCTCACTATGAAAAGTGTATCTCTTTCTGAATGTTCTTCTAATGATGTTGATATGTCCTTTTCTAGTCATGCTTCAAGACAGCTGATACATTAACTGTACAATCTATCCAGAACGAAATATTTTGAACTTACTTCAAGGTACATCACAGAGGTATGCCGAATTCTGTTGCCTTTAGCAAACATCTGAAGAGAGAAAAGTGGTACTCACTGTTCCAAGTTGAGCTTGTTGAAGATCTCCACGGTAGTCTCCAGCACCTTGTCTACATACTGGATCTTCTCAGGGTAACACTTCAGAGCCAGGTTGATGAGCGACACTTGGAGGGACACGATGTCTTCTGTTGGCATATCTTGTCGTGCCTGTGTACATTACGGGAACACATACATGTCACCAAACTGTTACTACCAGCCTCCTTTCCAGTGGTTCTTTCAACAACACCGCTACAGGTATAAGGCCCAGGAAAAAAATGTTGTGTTTCATGTTTCCTGACGACCGACCCTACAAAAAACTGCAGACCCTAGCCTTTTTTTGGGTGGACCCCTGCAAGGGACATAAATTTTTCGAGCTTATAAACTTTTTCTAGCTCCATAATCTGACACCTGAGTGATGAAACATTGTACAATTGGTTTTCCAACATTGACATTGAAAGTATAAGTGTCCTCATGCAAGTTTTACTTTGTTAAACTCTCTTCTATGAGTTGGATCACTAGAGATTGCCAAAGTAAAAAAAAAATTAAAAAATCCCTACCTACCAACCCTACTTTTTTCAGAACTGTAACAGCAAAGACAAAATGTTTTTAAGATTCCAAATTGTTTATTCCTACCTGTGTGACAGTTGCAACCTGCTGTGAGAAGATGTCAAACAGCTGGATGTCATTGGGGATGCCTGGGCCGTCATCTCTGTGTGCAAACAGGGCCAACCTGGAACACCAACATTCACATCACCCTCTCACAAAACATCCACATATCACTGTTACTGTATCTGTATCTGTATAGCCGGTATAACACGACTTGTTACACCTAACCCTTGAACATCTAAACTCTAAACATTGCTTCAAGCTGTCTAATGATAATGCTCCTACTGTACTTGGTGACAGCGATAGTGGTAGGAAAGAATGAGTTTTTGAACACCTTAAATCTTGGTTGATAACTCTGGTACCTGAAGGAATGTAATTGGTTGTTGTTATATTTTTGTAGTTACATTGACATGCAGAGTTATGTTCCAACTTAACATATATTATTGATTATCTCTACAAATAGCTTACAGAAGGTAATGAAACTACAGCAAGTGTCAAAGTTGGTATGTTCAGTGTATGTATATGTTAGATCTTGTTTTGACTGCCTCACCTGTCCACAAGAGCTATGATGATGTTCTTGACATTGACACTGGCGTGCAGCTCAGCACAGGAGCGCAGGAAAGGGTTGAGGGTCTGCAGGTGGAACTCATCAGGGAACACCTGTATAATACACTCCATGAGGTACTCCTGTGCGATGGCATCCTTACAGCTGACCACCTGTTCCAGGATACCTGGTAGCACCAGCTGCAGAGACAAGACAAGACAAGATACATAAGATGTGATAAAAAGGTAGTCCATGCTGTATGTACCTTGATAATAGTACCATATACCATACAGCAGTGTGACATCACATTGCCTTCCCCATCTAGCAATGCATGGCACTAAGCTACACTGCATACTTAGTTTTCCTTTGCACTTTGAAGGTCAAGTTTACTATTGAATGACAATGCTGGATACAATCTGCTATAATGTGTCTCCTAAAGGGCTCTAGCCAGCTCAAATTTTTTTCTGTCAGACTAGGTTCATGATCGGACCTGGGAGGAGAGTGCTCGCAATCTAGAGTGTCCGGGGGCAAATTCTGGCTTTTCAAGTCTTCAAAACTGCAATTTCCCACATTTTGAGAGGGAAATCATGGGGTTGTGAGTGGTTGTTGGTGGTCCTTTGGATATTTTTGTATTTTTACCCAGATTTTTGTCAACTTTGTCCGTCAAGGTTGATACATTTGTCTAAAAATGTTTCACAAAGTTTTGGTTTTCTTTCTTTTTAATGCCCATGATCATGATAATGATCATTCTGGCATACTCATTTTCACCTGAGTGAAGTGAGGAAAGTCATGTAAGGTGCCTTTCCCAAGGGCACAAGATCGAGTGACAAAGTAGAGTTCGAACCCGGGACCTCTTAGTTCCGTGCCGAACACGCTACCGCTATGCCACACAACACCACAGTTACTGCAATTGACACTTGCTGGCTAGAGCCCTGGTCTCCTAGCTGATTCATTCCACCATGTGGGTACCTTCTGGTATCTCTGTATGTTGACCTCCTCCAGCTGAGACAGGCGGACCAGGTTAGTTCCCACCAGGATGCGCAGCTCCTGACGCTCCTTCTCTCTCTTCTCGCGGTCGCGGGTGTGGCCCTGGTGCTGCATGCGTACCCACAGCTTGTTCATCTCAGCAAAGTTCAGCAGGATGAAGTCGATGGAGTCCTTGATGTCCCCACTTCTGATCTCCACCTCCCCTTCCTTCACAGGCTCCCTGGGGAACAACACATCTTATAGTTACAGTACCGATATAGCAATAAATGTATGTCTTTACAGGGCAGTAAGTTAGAAAAAATTACCTGCTCCCTGTCATTTTAGTTCAATTCTTTCAATTCTTAAGACAAAGTTATCACTTTGATAAATAGAACCCTTCTAGTTATCACTCTGAGAAATAGAACCCTTCTGTGACTAGTTATGAGTTTGATAAATACAACCTTCTACTTATCACTCTGATAAATACAACCCTTCTAGTTATCACTCTGATAAATAGGACCCTTCTATAGCCAGTTATCACTTTGATAAATGAACCCTTCTAGTTATCACTCTGATAAATAAAACCCTTCTCTAAATAGTTATCACTTTGATAAGAGGTTTAAATCACAAACACAGTGCAGCTGACTCACGGGTCCTCGTTTGGTGGGCAGTCGGGGAGGCTGTTCCTGGTCATTTGCAGGAGGTAGTTCCTGAGGAACAGGCCGCGCAGGGGGTGCTGCACGCCACGGCACATCTCCACCAGGTCCTTCAGGATGTCCTTACGACAGCTCTCGTTAGACTTGATGTACACCACTCCCACCGTGATCAGGAGATATCTGCCAAACAAAAAGGCATATTTTTATTAAATAATGGAAGCTATCTTCCGTGAATAATTTCATCAGGTTGGTAAGTCACTGGTGACTGTCACCTTCCTCAGGGCAATTCTGACTGGTTCACATTGCACTGCAGCACAGGTGTCGCTGCTATAGATGCATTCCCAAACGTAAAATATTTACATATCTACACATATGCGTAGTTACAGGGAATTGTATCTACAATGCGGTCACAAACGAACAGGAGTTGGATATATACATAATTGTGGTCAGTTATCTATCTATAGCATTGACACCTGTGCTGCAGTGCAATGTGAACCAGTCAGAATTTCCCTGATAAAGGTGACAGACGGTCACAGAAACGTTGGCTGAATAAAAGACTTGGTTGTGTAAAACGAGTCTCTTTACTCTGTGGCAACTATCATTTTCCACAAAGTTGGCTAATTGAGGTGGTCTGGATTATGGGATGTGAAAAAAAAGCATAAATGGTGATGAAAACATCGAACTGTCAGGCAGAGAGGTGGTCTGAATTGTGAACGTAAGTGAAAGTAAGGGAAGAATATTTTACTGCCTCCCTTTTTTCAAATGTAACAGCCGAGCTTTCCTACAAGACTGCATGAAAGCATCATAGTACTGCAAAACATGTCACTTTAACATAAAAGTATTACGTTTTTCCCTGTACATCAAACTTTCAAAGAGTCGTTGGCTTAAAAAAACATAGCATCATGAATAAGTGCCTAGGCAAACAGCAGTAATAACTGTTAAAGCCCACGCACACTCACAAATTAGAAGCCACACTAGGTAATTAGGCAAGAAGCTGTGTGCTGTACGTAATGATAGAGGACGTCCTGTAGTGTACATCACAGGGCTCAGGATGAGGGAAGAGGTGACAGGAATAAGCTTTAGCTTTGCCTTCTCCCAGACAGGGCTTAAACAATTTCTTAATTTGAAATGCTAACGTACATCATTGCTATTCTGTAGAGGCCTCCGTTGATGTACAACACAATTTTTATGCACCAAGGAGAAATAAAGAAGTATAAAAGAAATGGTGCAAGTAAAAGGTTCTTTTTTTCTAAAAGGCTATGGCCTGGCAAAATCTTTTCTACTAACATGAAACTACCTGTCTAATGCAAGAAACAGTAAACTTTTACAGCAGCATTGCATCAAATCAAGGGTTATAAAAGCCAGTGTTGCAGGTTCAAATGAAGACCTGATCATGAATTATTGCAGTTGCCCTAGATCAGAGTCACAGTATGAGAGATGTAAAATTACAAACCATCTCTCAGACAGCCCACATGATGGGATAGCTGTACTATAAGTCATCAACATGATACAACTGTGTGGGTGGTGATGCAGCATTACAATCATCAAATACTGGTTCTAACAGACACAGAGGTCACCAACAACATGCTTTTAGTGACCTTCTTCCCTCCTACCCTTTACAACACCATATTACATCAGAACATTCTGAGAATGTTGACTTGTACTTTGCCCATCTGTTGCATTTATCTAGAAGAAAACCCTTCAACGGTCCAATATAGCGTGGAATACTAAGTGTAGAAAATGTAGACTAAATGTGCATGTATACCAACTACAAAACCTAGCTATGCAGACTTTTGTATCAAATTAATTGTCTTGAAGACATGAATGTGGTTGGTTACATATCCTGTTACCTTTTGGTTTACTTTGATACTAGTCTGAGTCTGTGCATTAAACAGTACCCCTAATGGTTTCAAATCAATCCTTGGCAAAAAAAAGAGAACATTTGATCCATTTGAGCCCATCTGAATGGATTATAGGGTACGTGGGATAAGTGTCTAAAGCCGGCGTCTTCACAGCGACTCCCATCAACATGAGAAGCACATCTGAACGCCAGCACCAGAATGTTCTCCAATGTGCAAATGAGCGAGGTCTAACACAGAAGTAATGAGACCATTTCACACTCCCCTGGGCTGCCAAATCAGCCAGGGATGGCCAAACACTCGCAGACGGCTGACCAGGACAAATGGTCTGCTTATTTCCAGAAACTACCTGATTAGTTGGCAAGATGAGACCACAGTGGGCAGTCCCAGATTTAATGAGATTTCTTCCAGTCATCTATCCTTGAAAGCTTTCTACAAGTGCCTGAAGCAACAGGTATAATGAAAAAGCAAACATCTACAGCGACAATATCCTTTGAAATCCTGACTGAATACCTGAACTCAGCAGGGCACTGTGAGCTAAGCATTGTGAGCTCTGGTGCAGAATATGAATAATAAAATTCATATCAATCTAATCTAACAAGATGATATCTACAGGGGTACCAGGGAAACATATGCATGCATTTATTACACAACCAGGATTGTTTGAAAGGCAGATAGAAATATTTAATCTA